TGTACTCATATGTTGAACAGCACTTGTCTGAGATAATATGTTATATCACTCACTACTTGTACAGATGATGAGGAAAGTAACGAATTCGTTTTATATCGATGCAACATCTTTTCTTTGCGTGGGGCTCTGGTTGGGGTGAGAGGGAATATCAGAGTCATAATGGCTAAAAATCATCCTGTTCATCTCCTGCACCGAGCGGGAGTTACATTATGGCACTTACAACCGCAACCCCAGCTGAACATCAGCCCTATAGAACCGCGTCTGTGGTGGTCTAATGTCTCTTCGACGCCGAGTACGCTGGAGATGAATTGCGGAATGTTTTGCGGAATTGCAATAGTTTTGAAGGATTCTGACGGTCTTACCCTACAAAATTTTTGCATATAAATATATAATAACTGCTTTGTATTCTGCACTGAAACAAATGAAAAGCTGATTCTCATAATATTTATATTTTATAGCCTAATCACCCTAAAGGCGCGATTTATAAATATTGTTTTCCTTATTGTATCTATTTAATAAAGAAAACCTTTTAAATACAAATGATATGTTTACAAATTAATGTCTTGTTGTAAAACTGACAATTCCGTCTTTAAGGGTCATTTAAAAAACACTTGCTGTCAAAATATTATGACAGTGATATGGGGTCGTGTGATAATTTGGCAGTATTGTATGTACGCTAAAAAGGCGTTTAAAAGATTCTAAATATGTTTTTCAATATTAAAATATAACCAAACTTTATGGTCGTCACGTCTGACCTCGGAATCACCAACCTCTGTTATAGATTTTGGTTAATCCTGGAAATTAATTTTGTATTGTGCCATTTTAACATTACGACTTGCGCCAATCTTTCTAACCCGCACAGCGCTTTGGAATCACGCTTTGGAATGATCAGTGGCATTTCCGAACAGATACGATCTGCAAACCTTAAAATTACGAGCCGAAAGGCCGGCAACGTAGATTACTTACCATCAGGTGACGCATCTGCTCGTGCACCTCCTATTTCATAACAAAAACCCATCACTCAGGGAGCCCAAGACATAGTTGTATACAGACACAGTTATATAGGTAAAGAGACAGTAGCTTATCGATTTTTATTGGTCATTTAAGTAGCCAAATAATGTTAGTGGTCTCTTTACTGAATCAAGTTTTCGTTTTGCCTGATTGCACTGTCTGTCGGACTTGACTGATTGGACTGTCGGACACTTACTGACTAACATCCCACCATGTTTCATCATCAGCTTCCAGCGGGGTCTTATAGTGCATAGACTGAAACGACGCTCGGGAAAAAAAAGTACTTCTTTCTCTAAATACTCTTCTCCATATTATAATGATCTAATAGCTTTACTAGAATACATACTGACACACAAGTTGAATTTTCAGATATTTATTATTTTTATTTTTACGTTCCAAAAACAATTTGGCTTTGACAATGGATAGACATTTAACAGAATCTATACACACTTACTGTAAATTTCAACACTAAAGCAAACCACCTAGTCAGAAGTTAGGTTATTATTTAATAACTAGAGTAATAGAACAAAAACAATTTCATTGTATGATTACGGAAGTACTGTTACGTACTAATTATATGAATGTCTTCGTAACACGTAACAAGGTTAGACGGCAGAGTTCATATCACGGTCATTGGAAAAATTATCTCAATTAAGGCGATGTCGTTTGGTTTTTTTAAAACATTTTTTTTTCTTGTCTGTCTACGCTTTCAGACGGCCAGGTATAGTTACTTACTTAATTAATTATTTTTATTATGCACTTTTCACTGGGCATTATGACCTATTGCCATATGATATTCGGAAAAATATTATTTAAGGAAGAAAGAATATTAATTAAGGAAAAAGTGTGGTAGAGCCATGCTTCGACAAGTATAAGTCGGGTCGACCGAAGTGATACCACGGCCTCACAGAAAACCGGCGTGAAACAACATGAGCGTTGTGTTTCGCCGTATGAGTGAGGTTACCGGAGGCTCAATCCTTCCCCTCCCCCAATCCCCAAATCTCCAAATTCCTAATCCTCAAAAGGTCGGCAACGGACTCTATAACTCCTCTATTGTGGCGGGTGTCCATGGGCGGCGCTGATTGCTTATCATCAGGTAATCTGTCAGCTCGTTAGCCGACCTATCACACAAAAAAACGGAGAATATTAAATATTGCCATATTATATACGGAAGACAATGAAAATCTAAAATAAACCTATATCACTTTGGCTTATAAATAATTCGGGAATTTAATTTTCCTGAGATAGGTACTCACACTCGGGAGTGAGCTAGAGAATTCTTGAAAGTTACACTGTCAATTTAATTCATTTTTATTTTAAATGCATTTTATCGATAGCCTCAATTCTCATTTTATTATCACCACCATTACATCATCATAATCAGCCGGTAGACGTCCACTGCTAAATAAAGGCCACCCCCTTAGTCCTCCACGTCGAACGACATCTCACTACTTGGATCCATTGGCTCCCGCAACTCTGACGATGTCGTCGGTCCACCTAGCGGGATAGCCCACTGCAATGAGGCAGCGCGACCTCGGCCCAGAGCAGGAGAAGGAACGAGAAGGTTTTTAATGAGTAACAGTCAGAGGAAGAAATCATTTGATGATTTTCCCATCACAAAAAAAAGAACACTTGAGACTGACTTAGGTGCGACTTGTTCAATTAAATCATATTATCGATAGAATGTCCCCTTAAATCAAAGTGACCACGGTCATGGCAAGTAAAATAATTAGCACCACGTAATAAATAATATACTTCCACGCATTATAACTAATAATGTTAAGATTCTATTTAATATTGTCCCCTTATTATACATATATACGGACGTCCTCTACAGACACTATATAATATGAATTGACAAGGTAATTTTATATAATTCAAGGTTCTTTTGGTTGAGTTCGAATAAGTGTCTCAGTATTTGATTGGTTATTAATGCTTCTAAACAAATCAAGTGTTTTTATCGTTTATGGTACAGTTTTCCTATATTGTGGTAAAGCCATGTTTCTACATAAATGGGCTGGTTTGACCGGAGTGATACCATGGCCCCACAGAAAACCTAAGAGAAGTAACACTTGCGTACTGTACTTCGCCGTTTGAGTGAAGTTACCGAAGGCCCACCCTCAATCATCAAATCGCTATCCTTAAATCCCTAAAGACACACAAGAGCTGGTCTCTAGTGTGTAAAACTAAACACCGGATTTGTAGTATCTCCTTTGGAGTGTCCATGGGCAGCGCTGCCGACTATAACAAAACCGAAAACACAAATTTTTGTACGCCATTAAGTATCTCGTTTGTCGAGATTTAATGCGAATGTTAATAAGAAAAGGAATAAATAGAATAGATACATAATTTGGTAAGGTTCCGATTAAAGTGCATTAGGATTATCCTGTTTTTTACGAAATTATTAAATTAGTACAACTAATTCCAAAAGCACATTAATTGAAAGCACTTAACAAAATATGATTTAATAAAGATAACCAAACGATAATAACTACAAATCACACAGCGCTAATCTCACTATCGTTTCACTGATGCCAAACCACAAAATTCCAAACATTCTCGCTGCAATTCACAGTCAATCAGGACGGACCTACAATAATCTCAAGGCTGGTCAGGTCGACTTCTAACGCCGTTTGCAAACTACATGCATATAATATTTATAGCCCATAAGTAGTTATCCTTACGATAAGGATTTATTAGCTGTCTATTGTTAAAGGGTTTCTTTATGTTTTATGAGATTGTATAGGAACTGCAGGTCATTTCCAAATTGTCGATCTATGGTCAGCAGTTGCTAATACATATTATGACGATGATGATGATGATGATTATGAGTATCCAACTTTGGAAAACAAAATTGACTGCACTAGCAGACGATTTTGCTTTACTGGTTTGGATCATTTTTGTCACCTAGTTCTACAATGTCACCTTTAACAAAAACACATAATTATATTAGTAACAAATACAAAAAGTACAAATCGCTTTTAACATTTGACTTCCATTAAGATCAACATTTACTAATAGGTCACAACATGTCGTTCTTCGTGTCTTCTTTCGAAGAAAAAAAGACACTGAAGAAAAGAACTTGTATCTCATCAGACGTTGGGTGACGATGTCCACGGACGACGCTGATCACTCACCATCATATGAACCGCTGCTTCTTCATCCCCATTTCTTAAAAATAGGGTACAATAATAACACCAACTGTACCCACGAAAAAAAGCACGTGTTTGTATGAATTTTCGACTCTAACTACACTTCAAACGAACTCGTGCGAAACTTTATACTCATTCATCAGATACAATAACGTACAATCAGTTCCTCATCATTATATAATATTGGTAAAGTCTTTATGAAGGTCAACAAAAAATGTATTCTATAAAATTAAAATCCATAGTGCTTGACCGTGAAAATTTTAAATGCACATACATATATTTAAATTAAATACTGCGACTGTTCCTGTACCTACAAATTTATTTGCATTTATTTTCAAGATAAGTAATCATAGATTTTATAATACAAAAATATTTAAAATAAAATATACTTATTCATAGTTAATGGTCCTCAAAATAGTCAGTCCACGGAGATTGTCAATCAAGAACGGATTTGCAAAAACAAAAATTAATGACTCAAGTCCATTTCCTGAAAAGATCTCGAACTTAAGGTCATTGTTAAATGCAGTTTTATTAAAACAAGTTGTTGTTTTATCGTGCATATAAGTTAGGTATAGCGAAAATCATATTAAATGGCAATTATGCGAGGAAGTTCCCAAGAGCAATTTAAACGTTCACATCACTAGATTGTCACATTGTATGCTGATCTATCGTTATAAAAACAACAGTATCATCTCCATAAATATTCTTTAATTTTTTTATACGCCTGCGTAGTTATCTTCAAGACCTTCCTGTAAGGTCAATCGAATGTTATAAAACTGGATACTGGTTTACAATGAAAACATACGTTGTTAAACTTTCCGTGCTACAAGAATCAAGATGGAACAGCATTCAGTCACATGTACGATCCTTTTTTTGCTCCTGACACAATATATCCTCCACACCGACACATCAAGGCCCACGTTTCGGCCGACTAGACTCGTATCGTATTCCCTGCCCCAGAAACGAGAGCTCAAGAAGGCCCTGGGGTTCAACGAGGATGTATACTTAAACTTCACAGAACTTACCGACAAGTACGGGTATCCCACTGAAGTACACAAAGTGACAACGGACGATGGATATATTTTAGATGTGTTTCGAATATTACCAAAGTGCAGTGACTCGGCTAGATCCTATCCAGTGTTTTTGTTGCATGGAATTTTTGATACGGCAGACATGTGGGTTGTCACTGGAACGAAGACAGGTTTGGGCTACGTTCTAGCTAGCAACTGCTATGATGTGTGGGCAGGGAACCACAGAGGCAACTTTTATGCTAGAAGACACGTTAAGCTTGACCCGAACACAGATCCAGATTACTGGAACTATACATTCGATGAACATGGACGCTACGATGTACCCGCAATTATCAATTACATTCTTCGCTCCACTGGACATTCCAAGTTATTCTACGTTGGACATTCTCAAGGTAGCACTAATTACTTTGTTATGAGTTCTTTACGACCGGAGTACAATGACAAAGTTAGGGTTGCCGTAATGTTAGGTCCTGTCGCTTGGTTGAAGAATTATGAGAACCCTATAGCACGTTTACTTGCACAAAACCACGTTGCGATAAAAGCCTTTGTAGATAATGCGGGATTAAATGAAATATTCGGTAGGGAACATTTTGTACATTTTGTTGTCGAGTTCCTGTGTGAGTTAGCTCCAAATTTTTGTGATCTAGGGCTTTCGTTAACAACTGGTTATAAGCAAGGAACTATTCCTTTAAAAGATATATCAGTAGCGATGGGCCATTTGTTTAGTGGTACTTCAATAAAGAATTTGGCGCATTTTGCGCAGCTGATAGTAAGTAGAAATTTCCAACGTTATGATGAGGGTGTTACAGGGAATTTGGAGCGGTACGGTTCCCGCAAACCCCCTCGATACAATGTTTCTAGAATTTCCTCCCCAATAGTGTTAGTAAGTGCCAAAAGCGATATGTTATCAACTCTAAAAGACGTTGATATTTTAGTGTCTAAGTTGCCAAATTTAGTAGAAAATTATATAGTGCCAGAATTTTATTGGAGTCATCATAACCATGTTTGGGGTCCTAACGCACCTGAACTAGTTTATGCAAAAATATTAGATTATTTTAATAAGTATAAAGACGACACGACTCGTGTTTAAATAAGAATGCGATATGTAAGAAATAGGGAATTCTAAAATTTTTTAAGTAAATTTTACGTTCAGGGTTCACTTATTTTCATAAAGCGTTTTTAGTAGAATTTTAATCAATATTTTTATTACCTTTTATATGAAATGATTTGTCGAAGAAATAAGAGTTTTTTTTGGTACAAATTGTTTCTTACCTACTCATTTATGGTACATCATTGCATTTCGTTAGTAATTAAATAATTGTTTGTTGTAAACAATTAATTAGGATAAAAAGTTGTTAAAAATATAGGGCTGTGTTTTCTTATTCATATCATTAGAAATTACTTGCATCACAATTGAATGTCAAAATCTAATTAGGTACCTTATTTTAGTTGAAAAGATAATCATTACTGTTGATCAATAGCGTCATACACATTACTCGGTCGGTATACTCAGCAGTTAAATGAACCCGAGATGTTCCGGAGCCTTAGGGTCTTTGCTTCTCATGCATAGGTATGGGCCCATAAGACTGGTGCGAAACCTGGCAAGTTGAAATGCAACTTTACTCAATCAAGGTACATGTTAGTCTTTAGATTCATCAATTAGTCTAACTATCAATTTGCCAATCAACATTAAGAACGATCACCTTTTTTTGAGTGGGGAAAATTATCAAAGACTTGACATGGGTAGGGCGAGAGATAGTAGTCAGACTCTTATTAACGAAATACCACCCCGTTTCTTCTACTGTTCTGGGTTGTAGCCGCGGTACCTTATTGCGCTTACGTCCCCATTACAGGCTGGCGCTTTGGTCCCCATAATCGGCCCTTATGGGTCCCATCTGCTCGAGCGCCTAGCGTGGTGGTTATTGCTCAAACCCGGCTTTAGTTCAGTAATCTGATAATGCTACGCAGGTTACAGAAGTTTTTTAAAAATGGAACACTTCGTCCAAAATGCCTTATATCTATTTAATTTTTAATGACGTTTGGTACAATTAGATACAATCAAAGCGATTTGGTATAGTTAAATAAAAAAGCGTTACAGCATATATTTTTGATGGCCACATTTTTCCCTTATAAAATACAATGTGGGGACAAAAATTATTAATATGAATGTTTGTTACTCATTAACGCAAAAATAACTGATGGATAGACATGTTTTTTTTTAATTATACTTCGCGAATTTCCATGTATTGTGTAAACTTTCATGATAACTTGTGGATCATTGGAAAACCGTCCGTTATTCCGTTAAAAATTTGATTATCTAAATCGTATCTTACAAATATTATAAATGCGAAAGTAACGATGTTTGTTACTCAATCACGCCAAAACGGCTGGATGGATCTGGATTAAATTTGGCACAGGCATAGGATACCCTCCGGAATAGAACATAGGTTACTTTTTATTAACGAACGAGGGCGAAGCTGCGGGCGGAAGCTAGTTTAGAATTAATTCGTATTTCAGTCGACGGTAGCTTTAGGTATAGCCAGTTCGTTCTATTCTAATTTTATTTGTGAGAAACATTAATAAACCAATTATACAGACGATGACCAGTTGCACTTTAAACCACTTGACCAATGACGCTATAAGCAACGCATTGTTAATGATTCATGTAAATACTACTTATCTACCTATTTATTAACATCAATCATTTAAAAAAATAACTTCCTTGTAATCAGGAAGTATAATTCAACTGATGAATCATCATCAATTTTATTTTTTGTGGTGTAAATTGATGATTGATTATTGAATAAAATATCACACATTACATCATCAGCCTATAAGTGCCCTCTGCTGAGCAAAGGCCTCTTCTCGCGCGGGGAAGATTTGAACATCAATCACCATGCTTGCTCAAGGCGGATTTGGCGAATTCAAACTTATAGTTAGAAATTAAGTCTAGGTTTCCTGACGATATTTTCCTACACCGTATGTCAATGGTGTCTAAATAATAATAGAATATACGTATATTATTACTCTGAAGAAGTCACATTGGTACTTGCCAGGTCTCGAATCTAATGTATGAGAAGCGGGAGCCTCAACCTCTGGGCCATCACGACCAAAGCAAAATATACAGTATTTAATTTTTATTTATTTATATTTAATATATATTTTTGACTCTAATAATAATTAATTACCATATTTTGTGTTTAAAGCAAATTTATTATTAAGTAATTATTTTTTAGTATATATTTCTGTTTTTATAACTTATATTTAACAATGACTATCTTTGCCACCGCGATTTCACCAGCGCATTTAATAGCTTATTTTCTGTAAGGATTGTGTCCTTTTACAACATGATAATTTTTCAAAAAGGACACGTAGTTTCGGAACCCTTTCAATTCAAACTAACAAACAATCCAATCTTTCCTCTTTAAAATTTCAGTGTTTTAGAGGCTAGAAGACCCAGTGTGGCAAATAGCTACACATTGTTTGATGAACAGCTCTCATATCACTGCCCATTTCGATAATATTAAAATCATCGTCGATATGTATTATTTAATATTTTTAAAACAATTCAAAAACGAATTGTTGACCAATTGAATGACCCACGGGCTCATTCATTTCTACAGGTAATGTGTTACTTAATATTCAGGTGTACGAACCACAGCCGCGGGCCAAGTTAGAGTAACCTAAAAAACCTTACGACCGGATTTCTCTAATGGCGTACGTAGGTAGACTTGGTGTAGCTTCGGAGAAATTCTTCAACAAACAAATATTTATTACATGGTCTTACATCATTTATCGAGGTCACAATATGAGGACAACCAACCTTTGTCGTCTTTAAATAGTGGTATAGACCTAACTTTATCTTCGGAGTTGTGTGCGCAAGCGCAGTAATGTGCCGCGGCCCCGGCCTAGAACAGGACAAGGAACGGGGTGGTTTTGTCATTAAGAGTCTAACACTACCTCTCGCCTCACCCAGGAAGAAGTCATTTTGGTGACCAGTTTGAGCCTGACACTCCCGCCAATCAGACATTCAGAGTAGGAGAAGTCATTTAATGATATTCCCAAAATAAAAATCTTTCTTTATCTCATCGATTACCGAAATACATGGAATGCCTTTTTGCCAGTTCTGAGTACATTATTTTTTCAGTGCGCGGTTTGCAAACTACGGTGTTTAAATTCAGTATAAGTGTTTTTTTCCGGAACCACAACTATTTGTAGGTTATATTATTGTTAAATCAAGATTTTGATACCAAATAAACAAGCCAGAATTGTATTCGGATATAGTCGCTTGACTGTATGACTCTTGACTAGTTTCAAGCCACGGTAGGCCCCATAATCATGAGCAGCATGCGCAGCTGTAAGCAGTTACTGAAGTAATATGTGAAACTTTATTTATTCAATAGGTACAAGACATACACTATGTACAAAAACCATAAATCTTTTGCCAAAGCCGAGTCCCATTTTAATAATGCTATCAAAGATTTTAACTCATTTTACCGTTTAAGCAGTGTAAAGCTAGAAGAAGATTCATTGAGAATACGTAATCGTAGATTATTACTAGACTAATTGCCATCTAGGTAGATGTATTTTTAATTCCTGTAGCCAAAATAGCTCTTACTTCCTATATTTTGTTCTAACAACCTTAACATGCTCCAGGTTTAATTCGCCGTATTTTTATGTGTTCCTGCTATCTTGATTATCATACGTCATCGCATACATAAAATAAAGAATATAATGATATTCTGAAGGTCTAATACATAAATATACATAGTAATATGTAAGTATACATAATTTAAATACACCAAAATAAAATCTAGTCATTGTAGATTAGTGTTTAAGTTTAAGTAATAAAGTGTATTTTTGTTTTCTTCTCGTTTTATTTCTTTAAATTTAATTTGAAGTTACTAACAAAGATCTTAGTAAAACGTTTACGATAATTGAACAAGCATGTCAATACCTATATGCATTATGAGTATTGTATATTAATTAAACCATTGTACAAAAAATAAGCATTTATAATTATTTTTTGCCAATTATGTACGTTTCCTATGTAAAGTATTTTTATCTCTTACAGGGGTTGGACGAAAGATCACATTTGAATTGTATGTAAAACGGTTGTATCTTTTCAAATAATTCTTTTTTTAGATATATTATAATATAACTTATATGCCCTTAATGTTAAGGTCTTAAGTTCAAAAACTCATCTTGGTCAAGGTTGGATTTAAATGCGCCACTTGAGAGACTTAATTAATCCTGAAGTAGGTTCGATGCGTTTTTGTTGGCAATCTTCAAGGATATCAGGTCATCTGAAGATTATAGTTAATACATGCTGCAAACCTGTGTTTAAACCTCCTTTGTATAATAAATTATTATAGGTCATAACTTTATACCTGTTTAATTATTTTTTTATTAAGTACATTAAATAGATATTTTTGTTGCAATTTGAAAATAGAATAGTTTCCGAGCTTAAAAGTTTTTCTTAAATTGAATTAAGTAAAATTTTTATTGGTAAAATAAAAATTAATTTATCAAGAAAAAGGTATCATAAATAATATTTTAGCTTGATAAATTAATAATAATAAAAAAAATCAAATACTATAAAAAAGGTATCATATAAAAAAAAACCAAAGACATGACGCTTCAAGGTCAGAAATCGAGCCTCTAAAAATGCTCTCGATAGTAGAATTTAACAACACATGATGCCTTTTCACCAAGACCCAGAGGTTTGAGGTGGACAAGTGAGACATTCACGTTAACACAAGTTATGTTATCAGTCCTAAGAAAAAGATCTACAAACCACTCAAAACAAACTCTTTATAAAACACGTGTAACACTAAATTCAAACTTCACACTTCCGTAAATCGAGGTCGTCATTTGAAAAGAAGTTCACTGTGCAGCGTGTTATGTCATAAAATTGAGTGACATGCAAATATTTGAATGTTATGCAACCACTGAGCCTACCACGCGTGGGTTGACCGCGTGAAATTCGGTAATCGTGCGCTATCATAATTCTTCTAAATGTGTAACGCCTGCGCAAATAATAAAAGTGTCTTAGTTCATAGGTTCTGGCATTAAATTACGGTTTTAGCATTTGTGTTATAAGTCAATTATCATTATGCATTAGAATTTAAATTACACAAGTTATTATGATGCAGTAATACAATTTATTGTAATTTATTGCTATTTTTATATATTTTTTTTAAACATAGACTTTTCAACACTTCCTTAATTTGTAGCATTGAAAACCCTAGTGAATAAATCGAAACTAGAATATAATTTCACACACGGTACAATATCGGCGAAATCTCGACCTATTCCTTAACAGAAAAGCTTAAGCTGCTAAAGGGCAGCAAACCTCAAATCTACCAGGAAGACTCCCAACTAATCAACCGAAAACCAATTGACTGTATGGTTGGCGCATCGACTGGACAACTGACTGCTGAGCAACGTATTGTGGCTTCGACTCCCACACATAAAAATTCTTTATGAACTACACAAATGTTGTTCCCGGTCTTGTGGGTGTTTTTCTTTATGTGACAGGACACCTATAACAACGGAGAAGTTACGAGTGCGTTGCCGACCTAATCAAATCTACTTTAAGTTAGGGAAAGTCCTCTGGCAATCTCACTCACACGGCGAAAAACAATGCCGTGGTTGCTTCACGCCGGTTTCTGTGAGCCCGTGATATCACTCCAGTCAAGTCGACCCGTTTATGCCAAAGCATGGCTCTCCCATATACAATGTTCATATAATTTTATATATTTTGCAACTCAGACGAAAATATTAGTGTGGGAAAACGATCCTTTAAAATACTAAAGAAAAAACAATGAATGATATTAATAAATAAACCTGTTCGCAATTCAGAATAGCGAAAATAAAAAGCAGCTCTCAGTTGAACCTTGCGTTAATATATCAGGTGACAGCAGCACCTTCGAATGGCTGTCCACCTTGAACGTTGCATCTCGATTACCATAGCGGCCTGAACAACATGGGGACCTCTGGACAACGTGATCAAGTTTACTAGGTTGGTATATCATTCCTTTAACGGTAGAGAAGAAATTTATATCAGCGGGGTTACGAGTCAAATGCTATAATTTATCGTGGCCTCCGCATGGAGCAGGAGGATGGGCTGGATGGTTGTAAGTCAGTAAGAATCTGACACAGGGAGTGTTTGACTAAAGACAGCAGCATCTATGAAGACGTATCGCATCTTCTAGGTGCCCTGATTAGGGTAGCGGGCAAGATGCAATAAGGTCCCGCAGCCTAACTCATAGCAGGAAGTGGGGAAGCACTTTTGATCACCAAGACATGAGACTTTTCTTTCTCAAAAAAAAAGTTTTCTAACTTCACAAGCTCTGAAACTGTAATGGGTGTTGTGCAGTCGGACAACACCCCTTACAGTTTATTCTTTAAACAAAAAAAAACTGATTTATAAGGATAGATTTGTTGATTAGGTTGAATTGCGAGAACATTAGCCGATGACAAGTTGAATAGTTACTCGTAAAGCAAGGTTTGATAAAATGAATTTTATACATAGTAAAAATCAAACAACTAGAATTATTTTAATTTTTTCACCTGTATTGTACCCATATTTGCGAATAAATTTATCTTTATCTTTATCTTTATCTTTGGAGTTTATTACATCTACAATGTGTGAATGTTCAAGCTTCAATCTGGAACCATTAAATGAACCGACCGGATGCTGTATATTTTACTTATGTAAGATACGAAGATGAAAATGTGGGTGGTCAAAACGATTAATTTAATATCATTAATTTATTCTCTTTGCTGTAATGGTCACGAACGTGACGTCAACCGTCGCCATCGGGAAAATTCACGAAAAGCATGTGAGGAATAATTGTGCCGTTTTTGTCCGAACCCGGCTGGGGTTGTCGGTATAGTGCAATCAAGGTGGAAAACTGAAGATGATTTTTGAGAGGCTAAATCATCAAATGAATTCTCTTGCCTTGCCTGGCCAGGGGGAGTATGAGACTTTTAATGACTAAAAACCACCTCAATCCTGCTCCTGGTTCAGGACGAGGCCACGGTATATAACATACCGTGGCCTCGTCATGCGCGTAATGTAACATTCCTATAATTATTCGCCGCTTCATACCTCGCGCAACACTACTTATGAGCCCCTTACGTAGCTAGAGATTAATCGAGTTCTTCCTCAAATGACTGCCAATTCATTGCCAAGTAACTTTAAATATCTAATGAGAAATATAAAGATTACTAATGACGATGAAAATTAATTGTTACATTTATCCCTTGGGGTAATAAACAGTGTATGTACTATTATGTTATTTTCTATCGTTATAAACAGTAAATTGAATACTGCAATTCGTGATGAGCTTTCACTCAAGCCTTACGTAAACTAAGGTCGAGTGTAATAGCTGGTAAGCATTTCTCTCATTTAATTGTTTCATGCGTGAAATAATTAAAAGTACTTTCAATTAATATTGATTACGTAACTTATTTAATGGATAGGAGACATTTGTATTTCCTACTAATGTCTTAAAGTCTGTTGGTATTTTTTTATTACCAAGCAGGGTGATTTGTTAGCAGCTGAGCGTGCCTCCAGTGATAGTGCTCTCAAAATATCTGCAACTTATTATCTGTTCTGTAGGTCCAATAAAATCTATTCAGACTTAACAAAGATAGTTCGTTAGTCGATCTAGGAAGCTAGGGTTAGATCCCCGAGTTGCACGAAGCCTTATTAGTTTCATTTTCAAAAATTCTCAGCCTTATATTTTTTGTTTTCAAACTTTGAAACCAGTGTGTACAAATATCTAATATTTTTTTGTTTCTTGGAATCTATTGACGAGTTAGCCTTTCAAAGATTCTTCGTTGACAGCTTAAATAGAAGATATTTTTAAATCCTTGCATCTTATCATGGTGATTTCTTTTGACTGTATGCGATCTATCACAGAATCACCAAACGCTAGTTTCTCTTTACGACATTTATTTATTAACATTTGAAATATTATAAATATCACTAAGATATTTTTCTTATAATTCAAAGACAAAAGTCAAAATCATTTATTTCAATTAGGCCACAGTGGGCACTTTTAAACGTCAAATTAATATTACCCCTATCGATAATCGTTATCGCATACAAAAATACATAACAAATAAAAAACATATATGGAGATTTCTAACGGCAAGTAATGTGATCAACAAATTATGTAATCCACTCATCTGTAACACTTACTTCTAAAGCGATAACGATTATGAATACTGAATTGATAGGAGAGATTTGTATTTCCTACTAATGTCTTAAAGTCTGTTGGTATTTTTTTATTAGCAAGTAGGGTGATTTGTTAGCAGCTAAGCGTGCCTCCAGTGATAGTGCTCTCAAAATATCTCCAACTTATTATCTGTTCTGTAGGTAAAATAAAATCTATTCAGACTTAGCAAAGATAGTAATTTGTTAGTCGGACAAGGAAGCTAGAGTTAGATCCCCGAGTTGCACGAAGCCTTATTAGTTTCATTTTCAAAAATTCTCAGCCTTATATTTCTTGTTTTCAAACTTTGAAAGTAGTGTCTCTACAAATATCTTTTTTATTTTTTGCCATCTCTATTGACGAGTTAGTCTTTCGGAGATAAATCTTTATTGACAGCTTAAATAGAAGATATTTTTAAATCCTTGCATATTATTATGCACTTCGACTGCACGGTTGGTGTGGTGGATGGGCAACTGGCTGCGTGTCGCGGGTTCGATTCCCGCGCGGAACAACTCGTTGTGTGATCCACAAATTGTTGTTCCGGGTCTGGGTGTCATGTGTATGTGAAATTGTATGTTTGTAACCGCATCCATGACACAGGAGAAAATCCTAATGTGGGGCAACGTTTTTAAAAAAGATAGATAAAAAATAGATAGATTATGGTGATTTCTTTGACTGAATGCGATCTATCACAGAATCACCAAACGCTAGTTTCTCTTTACGACATTTATTTATTAACGTTAGAAATATTATAAATACCACTAAGATATTTTTCTTATCGGTAATCATTATCGCATACAAAAATAAATAACAAATAAAAAACATATATGGAGATTTCTGACGGCAAGTCATGTGATCAACAAATTAATCTACTCATTTGTAACACTTCTAAAGCGATAATGATTATGAATACTGAACTTGGCTAGTGAGAAAATCATTAAAAAGTAATAACATATATAACATATTAACGAAGTTTAAGTAGATAAAATCAAATAAACCAATAAAACATATATAAAATACAAATTTGAGCAATGTAATAAAACAACAAAACACTTCATATTGTAATAATAATTAAATAAATCAAAACTATGATTATTCTATTTAATAACCATCATTTTACACTAAACTCAACTCTAATGACCTTAAAATTAGTTGTATTGAAAAAATATCGCAATATCATTTCATTGTATATAATAACGTGTATTCACATACAATGTGCAATGCGATCGTTATATGCATTTTATTAACACATCCTACTTAACAATCAGTTCACAGAGTATTGCACTTTGGTTCTGAAACTATAATATTATATACATTATATATTTATATACATATGTAGCTCGCTATTCAAGAACATCAAAGTATGAAATCGGGTTTTGTATGACAAAAGGATTCTTTTGTTTTATTTATTTTTGTATCTATTCACTAAAGAGTAACATTGCTCTAATGGTTTTGGGATTTTTTGGCCAATCCACGTGTGTTGGGCAATCCACAAAGAAATTTTGAAATTTGTGATGCAGTGATACGTATCACTGCATCAATCAAAAAATCCAAAAATTTTTACTGTCAAATTTTTTTTTAATTACTTAACTAAATCTCAATCTAAGAAAACTGCTTAGATAGCGTTTGACATTTGTGCTTCAGAAGGTCAACTTCTAATCTCTTATGAAATCTTTGTCACATTTTACATGTCACAGGTTATAAAGAGCAGCTATATTTTGCATGGATACTTATGTAGTGTTCCAATCTTTTATTTTATTCTTTTTTTAAAAGCCTTGCCTTATATCTTTCTTCGGGGTCAAAGGTGCATTTATGGCCATGCAGGTGCACATCACACACTAACATGGAAAAGCAATATGTTGAACTCACAAAAAGTTTTTTGGTCGGTAATCAAATTCGCGACACGCTGCGCAACAGCCAATGTCAGTTATAAAATACTCTATTGAAACAGAAGAATGCAGGAAGAAGGTAGAAAACGTTTGTAGCATTAAGTCCCCAGATGTATAAAAAGATTAAAAAAATAAAAAATATGTAAAGAAATGGGCACTTTTCCGGGCGCAAGCAAAAAACCTTGGTTAAACATTAAAATATCCGAAAAAGTATTAACCAGACAATGAATGACTGCATTGGTCTGCACATCTAGACTAGACAAATCGCTGTCAGCCAAAACCTACGACGGCGCAACATATTTAATAAAAAGAATCCTAATATAAATAATAATATCGTGAAAAAATCATGATTATCAAACCAAAAAGCTCGACTGCGCAACTCATTAAATGCCATACGAATATTTTCGATTAGCTAACGGTATATGGCAACACGCGTGGAATCAATTCACAGTTGGACCTCTGTGAAATTCGGAACGTCACTGAATATGTATGCACCGTCCAAGGTCCCATAAATTGCTTTACATATGAAAAATATGGCGAACAATAATGTCACCCGATTTTACGTAGACGAAAACCGTTAGAAGTGTAATAATGAATGGTACGTACGTGTGTCGGTCCGTTTTGTTCTGTTTGTAGTTTGAAAAGGATTTGTTCTGTGTATAGTTTTTTAAATAGACCATGTTTTGAAGACAATGTTCACCTAGTTTTGTCAGTTTTTGAGTGGTTGACAACAGATTTAATGATGCCGCGTACAGAAATGACGTATCCTGATGCTGTTCAACTTTTGGCAGGTTGATTGATAGGTGTATTATTCGTAATAAACCCGGTTTATGAAACTGCAATGTCAGATGCCACTAAC